ATTAAAATTCTTTTTAGAATAATTGTACATAAATAGGTTAAGCAAAACAAATGTGATTATTTCTGAGAACTTTTGAACTGCAGGCAGACATTATGGTACAGTAGGCCTACAAATATTTTGTTGGAGATATGCGAGCAAAATAATAGATTAAAAACTCCGGGGTTCCCTTAGATATTTATGCACATGCGCACTCTTCTAAAATGGCGCTTATTGAGGACGCGCAAAAATACATAGATTAAAATGCATTTATATTTACATAGAACGGAAGATATAGATTGAACTGCATGTTAGCTTGCTTATTGTGCCCAACAGCAAGATTAAAGTCCACGTCTTACTAACAAGAAAATATGCTTCTAACGACAAGTTGACAGCTCTAGTTCCAACCATGTAAGTTTGTGATGCTGTTTGCGAATGTTTATTTAAACTTTGTGTTTCAGGAAACGCTGAATGATTGAACTATATTTGTAATGACGGAACTTGCATCCATAGCTGGCTAACAATGTTTTTGGGAAACGGACACCTGAAAACTGAGAAAATGAGAACTGAAAACTGAGAAAATTAGAAAAAAAAACGTCTATTCTAATACCCGCTATAGCACCCCTTGTGGCAGCCCTGAAAATGCTGCGTTGCATTGAGAATTGCACTTTGACACATTTTCACTTCACAAAGCAACAAATGTCTATTTGTTAATATAAATATGTATGCAAAGTATATTTGAAGCCTCATCCTAACAGCTCAAACAATGAGTGAAATCTTTGCACATCTGTGCAATATGATTTTTTTTGTCCAATAATTGTGTGCTCTAGTTCTCCTGCAGCAGGTCAAGATGATGCCAACAAATTTGCATTTCAATCACTCATAAATGAAGATGTGCATTGCCTTTAAACTTGCTTAATCTCTTATGTGTGGCAGGTTATCCTTCATTAGGTGAAGACAGACGCCTCTAATTACTGAAATTCAACACATAATTACCCATCACAACACACTAAGCTTAAGCTGGCTGCTTAAATATTCATATGCTGATACCAAGAAGAAGAGTAAAAACATGCGTAAACAACATCATGATTATGCATAAACATAATCAACACACATCTAAATAAACAAAAACAGAAAGATACATAAACACAACTGTGATATATAAGTTAATATTGTGTTACATTTTGGACTCAATATTAGACTCTATTTTGCTCAGTTTGGCAAACAAAAATAGTTCCGAACAAAGCCACAGCAGAACTGTTGTGCATCTCAGACCAACACACAGAGGTGTTTCCTTATTATATGAATCCAAGATTTTGAATGAATCGAGCGAGCGAACGATTCAGTGACTCAATCATAAAGATAGTTACTATATAGGTGGGTTCGACTTAGGCTGCAGCTGGATTGAAAATCAGTGTAAAGTAAACCTAAAAACATCTATGCTAATAAACACAAATGTATGCTTGATACTATGAGTGTCATTAATTGTGTCTGTTGCCAGGGGAAAGCAGAAGGTGAGAGACAGAGATAGAGAGACAGTGTGAAAGAGATCCGTGTATAATTCCTTTCGATCTGCCCTTCTGTCCTTGCCTGGAGCCGAGACACCGCCAGTATCCAGTAGCAACCGTCCAGCCGTCCTACGGGACCTGCATTTAGCCATCAATCACTGACCTCACTTGTGAACCCCATTTCCCATAATCCCCTGCCATGCAGAGCTGTCACTGCCCCCAGCTGCTACTGCTGTCACTACGATGACCCATGCCCTCTTCAAACCACACAACATGTGGAGTTAATTACTGATTGACGTGTCCGCAGGCAAATATTTAAAGACACACACAATCCCTGCAATCGATTTGGAAGGGCTCATCCCTATGCCCTAATCCCTTCAAAGGGTTTACCCTTTGGAGTGAGAGCTTCGAAGGGTTGAAGGGTGTAGAGGACCAAACAACTGTTTCTTGAAGTGCCCTTCTGGGTCATCATCACGTGCCCACACGGAGGTGCCGTCATCATGCAAAGAATCTGCGCAAAGGTTCATGGGAGCCCGAAGTGTCCATCAGTTGTATCCTTCAAAATCCTTCATTCCGAAGGGCGCTTTGAAGTGGCCAGTTTTGAGCACTTCGGTTTGGAACGACCCTTCAATATGGCGGCCATGATTGTTTTCACTCCGAAGTGCCCTTCAGAGGGCGATATATCCCGTTTGGAACGCACTGAATATCGGACTGAAAAATATACTAACTTTCATTTTCTTTCTCTGTCTGTCTTTTTCTGTAAAAGTCAGTAATTGTTTTGGTTTTTTAAGAGCAGTTCAGTCATTTTCGCCAAAAAAAAAAAAATTAATTTGAAAATAATTCTTATAAGTGATTGAGTGTATCATTAAATGAATATTAAAAGTTAAGCTCTACTTTTTTTTTTACTTCAGTGATATAACAGTTTAAGTCTAATGGGTGAGACATTTCACTGGAATAAATGTTAAAATACAAAGTTTCTAAAGTGTTGACAAGATTTAAAAATATGTGTTAACATAAAATCACATACTACCACAGCTCCAGTAAATAATCCAATAATTTTCATACAATACTGTACATGCAAGGACACTAGAAAGATACTTTCCACAGAAAAATAACTAACAAACATACATACATACATAAAAAAAAAAAAATCTGTTACACATCACTACATTGGAGTCCACTGACTTTCATTGCCATTTTTAAACACACATAAATAAATAAATGGACATGGTATATTGATTTGTGTTTAAAAAGAAAGCGCTAAGTGATGCGAGAGACATTAAACTTGCACAACCAATGTGACAACAGTCAATTTTACAGTTTAGCTGCCATTATACAATTATATTTGAACATAGAATGTCATGATTCACTAATCACAGTCATATATTCCAGAGTGCTGTGTAATAAGAAAATATATTAGACATTAAAATGTGTATTAAATGGCACAGTGATTAGCTTTTAGAACGTATTATACATACACGCTTCAATAAGTGTTAAATGAAATGGAGCTCGCAATGCTAATATATTGAGGACATATAAAAACAGGCTTCAGTTCACACTGGCACACACACACACACACACACACACACACACTATAGCAGCAGAAGGACATGATGATCTTGATCACATCTAGTTGCCAAATAATAAAGTGCTGACCATGCACTCAAGAGCAGAGAGCAAAGGTGTGTATGTGTGTGTGTGTGGCTCGTAGCAGAGCAGGATGGACAGAACGTGGGAGGAAAGGCAGAGAGTCCTGTGGAGAGGTGTCAGGCCTGGACACAGGTGAGATCTGGCCCAGGTAGTGTTCTCATTTCCTCAGCCCTGTCTGCGGCCCACACCCCCATAGAGAGACATCCTGATACACAGCTGTTCACAGAGTGGTCTTCTGAAATCAGGCGAATTCCTCTTTCTGCGTTTGGATTTTTTAGTGTAATGGAAATTTATATGCCATTTGATATTTAAACAGGAAAATTTGATTCACACTTGCGATCAATAATAAAAAAAAACAGTGCCTTTAAACACAGATGTCACATCAAGTGCCAAGTGGTTTTTGATGGATAATGGTTGGTTGTCATTGTTGTTTTTTTTTTTTTTCATTTATCAGCTGGGGAAAAAAAAAATAAAAATTCTGAAAGTGATTCCAACAATATCTTTCCTCTGTGTCATTATCTTATTTATTATTTTGGAATGGCTATTAAAACTTTATAGTTATAGTCATTAATAGTGTTTTAGATAACTAGGCTTTTAGACTTCAATTAACAAACAGAGCATTTTAAATGAGGATTAAATCTGAAAGAGATTCTCAGATCTCGTTTTCCACAATTTGGGTGGAAAAGTGGTCAATGCAAATGCAATGAGATCAAGAAAGGCAAAAAAGACATTGAAACTTTTTTTGGGGGGGTGGGGGGATTTCATATTTCTATATCAGATTTTTATTATCATTTTTTGTAATATTTCTTTAGCTTTATTGTCTGATTTTTTTTTCTTCAGACACTGTCTCCTCAAAGAAAGCACCCAGACACACTCATATTTTACTCCTGTCATACATATCTACAAAAGGAAATATGAAAAACCTCAAAGAGATCCAAAGAGTGGGGCTTTAGTCATATTATTTCATATGGAGTTCATAAATGTGGATGAATTTAATCCAGTGAGCCTGTGTCATTCATAGGCCTGCACAGCTGAGATAAATGTATCATCATACACACCTCAAAAATCCATCCAATCACACACAGACGCTCATGCCAGTCCAGGCTTGGGTCACCCTCTGGAGAGAAAAAAAAAAACACTGTGTGAAAAAAAAAAGAGAGAGAATGAGAGAAGAAGAGATCTGTGTGGGTCACAAAGGCATTAAAGGACAACTAAATAATTCAGGGCACATTTTCCGGGCTGGTGGCGGAGTCCTGTGAGCACCAAATTAAGCTTTATATCAGTCAGCCCTGCGGCTTTGTGTATCGGAAACATCTGAAGGTGAAGAGCTCAAACCTGACTTCGAGCTCATCTGGAGACGAGAGCGAGAGTGCAGACAGGAGAGCAGACGCTTACCGCGGTGTTTAATGTGCTGAGTGGCACTCAGAGATCACCTAGAGCTATCTGTGTCCCAGATAACTGCTCCACACACCATTTACACCCTCACGCTTCGCCCTGGAAACAAGCGAGGAGCACCTGGCCATCATCATCACAGGCTGATCGGTCACAGCTGCACCTCATCAGGCGGTGGCTACATAAGCCATGCCAGCCCTGCCATCTAAGAGATTCCTCCATGAGACTGAGCCCTAACTCGCCCTCTCATTTTTGAGTGGCACTCAGAGATCACCTAGAGCTATCTGTGTCCCAGATAACTGCTCCACACACCATTTACATCCTCACGCTGAATTCTCTCACTCTCTCTCTCTCTCACACACACACACACACATATACACACAGTACGTCTCACCTCACCTAATCTCACATTCCTATTCACGCTCACACATAAACAGACCTGCATACCTAAGATCAATGATCAGTCACCTGATTTATATATATATATATATATATATATATATATATATTGTGACGAGCGCCGCG